TGATAATCTGATGTTCCTTTGCGTAATATGCTTATCAAATAAAATTAAGTATGAATAATCGTTAAAAAGGCTTCAGACCGTTTCGATAACTGTATACCGTAAACTGGTTAAATATTTAGTTCTATTTTGCTTGTCATTTTTTTTGACTTCCTCACACGAATATGAGATCTTTGAAAGGAGTGTTATTTGAGTAATAAACACGATCCAAACGTAAAGAAGTTGAAAACTTTCAAATGTTCACGCGGTCGAGCATTCCTTTTCAGCTCCGGTCCATGACGAGCCGTTAAGCAAATCTAAATCCCCATGAGTTTAACTACAGTTCTTCATAATAGAAAGTCAGGAAAATGCATGAAAGTAAGAACAAGTTCATTCTCAAAATTTACTCTACTCCTATGCATTTGGAAATTGAATATATCAACCAAGAGTGGTAAAAAAGACTGAGAAAACCAGAAATTCAACCCATATTTTACAAATTACAAAGCCAAAGAGGAACAAATGCACGGGCAACTTCACCGTAGGTCAATAAATACTGTACTTCAAACCAAGATTACCAACATAAGAAAAAATCGGGTTTACATCAGTCTGCAATACACTAATACTACCTTCCGCTTGAGCTATTAAAAACTAACATGATCCTATTTACACATTCTCAAAGCTGTATCTTCCAAGTTAACTTATGGAACCATAAGGTCCATAACCATTAACCACGAGTCCCAACAGCTCCTAGTGAATCAGAAACATAACAAATTCGATCAACTATTGACTCAAAGCTTCTTGTGCTCATCAAAACAATTAACTGCATATAACTTAGTTTGTCCCCTTCTCTCTTCTCTATCGAAAAAACGATAGAATATCATTAAAACCCCCCAAAAACGAGTACTGCCGATTGCCCACTAGCAATACAAACCACCTTTCCATCTAAAACATGAATAAATACAATGGTGAAAGATCGGTTCATACGAGGGGATCCACCATAGCCAAACACACTAAAAGTGAAAGTCACAAACACAATAGACCATGGCATATGATTATATTCTACAGATTGAATGTGGAGACAAAAAA